ACGTGTTCTCCGTTTAAAACATGGTTTAACAATATAAAGTAGAGAACTCTGTCTCTTTTTGATACAGAAACTACGACCATTATGCAAAAGCAAAAGGTTTAATTTTGCTTAAGTAATATTGACAGTTTATACATAGAATTCAAGCCAGGGTGTGTTGTCGTCTTCGAACGCCTTAAAACAAGTTTTTCAATCTAGTTCCTTAACGTTTGTTAGAATATTACGTCATTTGCATCCTAAATTTCTTCTTATTATTATTTAATTCTCTGTTTAGCGCTTTAGCATTGATTTCCTGATACGACACGATATTGATTTTTTCCTTTATCTGATCCAAATAACTTCGTATAGATCTTCCTCTGCCTCTCTTTCCTTCGGTCTTCCCTTCGATTATGTGACTAAGAAAACTGTCGTGCCGCATCAGATGACCAAACATTTTCCCCCTTCGGTTCTCTATTGTCTTTAGTCCTCCTCCGAAAAAAGACAGCATCCCTGATGCGCAGAGTGCGGGACAGCCCCAACAGCATCCTACAAACTGTAGCTGGTAGGATCACCTCTCCCTTGTGGCAATGCTTCGTAAGGAGGGTGATTTAACCAATTGATGATGTACAAGCATTTACTAACACTAGTTTATAAGCTCTTTTTCTATTATTATTATTATTATTACTAACAAAATATGGAACTTGTTGTCCGAAATAAAAGTATTTTATTTTATTTTTATTATTTAGTACGCTTCGCTTTTCATTCACTAAACAATGCTAGAAAAATCTGTCAATTTGTTTGTAAGGCATCTATTTAGCTTACCCTATTTGGCCTAATATAGGAAAGTTACTTAATGTAGAGAAAAAAGCTCTCTGATTATTAATGTGTACATGTTAGTAATTAGATAAGTAATAGGTATCCTTTTGCCGTCAAAACCATAACCCAGTTTTAGGATATTGAAATTGCTTAGTGATATTTCAGTTACGCATGGTTACGGTAAGTTCCGATAAGTCGAACATGTTAACTAACTTTAATTGTTTTTAGAAGAGAGTTTTGTGCTCTATTTTTTGTTATTTAAAACGGTTATTTAACCATTTGTCACTTAGGCGCATTTTAGTTAGTGGACGGTATTGTGTAGTAGTGGAGTATTATGTATTTACTACTGTGCTGAAACGCTTGGTAGGTAACAATAGACTTCCTTGTGAAAGAGTTCGTCCAGAAACTTACTGCCACTTTGCTTAATTCTGCCGTCCAGCAGTAACGTGAGCATTACCGCGTTTCGGTTTTGAAGGGTAAGCGTGTTTTGTCTTAGGGAGGCGGGCGCAGTCAGATTTTTGCGATTTAAGTCGAGTCACTGGAGGAGAAGCGGGGAAAACTGTTTTCTTAGATCAAATCATTTAGGTATTTACTATTAATAACGGCTTTACAAAAAATATACGCTACATCTAAGGATATTGTCTAAAGAAAGTGCTAATGTGTTACACGACAGGATGTACTTTACAGTGGCGAGACGTCCATATAACTCGATTTTCACCGGCTTGAATAAAATTTTCCATGTATTACGAAATATTACGTTTCGTGGTAAATTTTATGTTTAGAATAAGTTAACTGGTGAAATGAAGTATACTAGTACCTTGTGTGCTAATAAATTGTGTTTAAGTGTTGCGGTGTCGCCAAGGCGCCAGTTTTTCTTAAGGATAGAGTTTTTTGTTTTGCTCCGGTCTTACTAACGACAATTTTCATGTCTCGCCCTTGGTACTTTATCCGATCATATAAAATAAAAATCTAAAACGAATTATTTAAGAATAAAATATGCAATTACATTTTTATAAGTGTTAGTTTGAATTCTTTTCCTTCCCGCTCGATGTTTTTCCTGAAATTATGAAAACAAATTCGACCCCCGAAGTCAAAGAATTTAGCCATTCTAGGAAAACTGCCCATTTACTATTCGAACTATTTATTATAATCAAATTTTGCAGACGAATCTAAACACCAATTTAAATTTATAATTATAAAATTACACAGGATCAAATATTCATAATTTTCAACCAAAAAGAGGCCAACTTTATAATGACATTTCAAGATTTTCTAGATTCTACATAACTTGGTACTTGGTGTAACGGGCTGGTGTCCGCAACTCGACGTCAAGACGCCTATTTTGCGTGTACATAAATTCTATTTCTACAGAAATTCCTTAGGAAAAAATAATTAATTAATTCTTGAATAAACATCGAGTTATGAAATAAGTAGTAATAAGTTATAATATTGTCCGTGGAGATGCTTCAAAACGAGGCTCATTCTTATCATATCTATGGCATACAAATTTAAATATTACGTGTGTGTTTTTATTTACGAACTAAAGACAAACTTAAGTTTTTAATTATCCTGTTCACCAGTTATTTTCCGGTTTTCGAATCGGTTGTCTCATTCATTAGGATGTATAAAATCGATAGATTATTACGTGAAACGTTTAGCATAAATTAGAATTATCAAAATACAATTCGAATTTGTACACTTCAGCGGAAAAATCTTATTACTTATCTTCACTGTTCGAAATTACACTCCCGGACACACAATTCGAGCCACCTCGCATTTTCATTATTAAATGCCCTAAGCTTAAACAATGTTTTAACGATCAAAAACTATTAAGCAATTCTGAAACTAGTAATTATACCAAACGTCTTTTCCATAAATCCTTGTCGAAAATTTGGATTTGCGAAACCGGGGGAATTTTTTTTCTTTGACGATAACACTACTTTTGTATTCTAGCCGTTTAAGACAAAAATGCGAGTGTCTAAAAGTATATTTACAAAAAAAAAATTTTAGTGCCCTGGTGAACCAATAACCCAGATCTCAAATAATAAATATTCACTGTAGCTAGAAATATGATGCCGATGGAGCAGAGTTGTTCTGGAATGTGCGATCACGTCAAGGAAAACATAGTGTGGGACGCCCTGCGGCAAGATGGGCGGACGACCTGAGCAAGGTGGCCGGCAGCGGCTGGATGCGGGTGGTACAAGACCGGGATAGATGGCATACTCAAGTGGAGGCTTAACTCCAATAGTGGATGCGTGCAAGCTGATGATATAGCTAGAAGTGGAATGAAATTGTAGACAATAATTCCGTCACAAGTGCTCCTGTCTATGATGCTTTATAGCGTGATGCCAAAGGTCTGAGCAATTTTTTTTGTATAACTTTATTAATTTACTTAAACGTTTTAAAGCAAACGTTTCCTACAGGCTATCAAAGAATGCAACAAATAATGAAAATGACGTCTATAAGCTCCCCGCCGATGTTCCGCGTGTAGGTCAGAGATCATTGGTACGTGTGAGTATTGCTTATGTACTTATCCTGTGAAATTTCGACACTGCGTGTCTCTAGAGATTCAGTATCTTGATATGTTGTAGAGCAATGACGTCACTATCGTATACTTCGTCTGCGTGGAAAAACTACTTTGAGATATTGTACTACTTACTTGAGAAATTATTGATCCACCATACAAACTTTCATCCCCAATTTCACCCCCTTTGAGATTTATTTTTGTGAGAAAAGATCTATCGAACTATATGCCAAAATTTATCAAATTTGGTTCAACAGTTTAGGCCTAAAAACGTAACGGACAGGGTTACTCTCGCATTTATAATATAAGTATATAAATTTTAAAACTTTTATCAGCGATTGTATCATGATCTAGTCGGCGGAGTACGACATAATGATATTTTGTAAATTGTTTACTGTCAATGGATGAGGTCATTGTCATATAAAAGAGTCTATATAAGACGAGGATGACAGAAAAAACGTACAGTTGGACGTTCTGAGAATCTACAGAATGGATTTCAAAGTAAGTTGCGAGTTTTTAAATGTTTTACACCATTGATGGACCGTTTGAACATTTTGATTTTCTGCCAACTTATTTAAACGATTTACTTTCACATACATGAACAAAAAAGAATAATTTACAGAAATGAGAAATTATTTTTTATAGAATTTGTATAAATAATTATAGAAAAAAAATAAAATTGAAATAAAAACAAAGTATATGTGGGACGGACACAAGCTCAGGGAAACGTTGAAATCAATTTCCACTGATTTCAAACCCGATTTTCGGCATGACTCGGCCGTGGTAGCTCTACGTAGTCAATCACACACACAAATCGTAAACAAACATCAAATAAAGATATAATTATTGATGAAAGTACTAATACTTCAAACAGCAGTAGAGTTGTGAATGTGTTCGTCCAGGGAAGTATCGCCAATTTAACTATTTCTGCCGACAAGCTATAATGTGAACATTACTGCGTTCCGATTTGGATGGGTGGTGAAATTACAGTGCCTTAGGATCTTTGCAATTTAAGACTCTGAGTGGCACTGCAACTGTTATGGACAGGCGTGTCGTTTACCACCAGGCGCACGGCTTGTTAGTCCCGTTACTTAGTGTTATATAATAATAAGGTTTATTAAGTTATACAATGCTTACTGATCAGTAAGTTTAATATTGAACGTTACTTTTAAAAATACCTGTGTTACAGGTCCCCATGTTCCTATTCTGCGAATTGTAGTAAATTAATTTAAAATTACTAGATTGTTCTTGAAAGTACAGAGAACTGGTCAAAAAACCAAAACTAAAAAAGACTCGGGCACACCGAGTTAAGGAAATGAAAATTGACTTATAGGTAAAAATAACAAAAGTATTTTTTTTTTCGTACAGTGTACGAGACAGACACTGCATCTCAAAATCGATATTTGTGATTTATTTCACATTTTTTGAATCGATGTTCATACAATTAACGTTTAAAAATTAATATAAATAATTATTAGTGCAATTAACTTTTTTTAATTCTTCGTATTATAATCTTAATTTAAAGCTTAAGTAAATTGAATACAGTTACAATTGGTTTAATTTATTCTGATTTATTATTTATCCTTACAGAGTCCATAATAATTTATGTTACCTACCACCATGTTTAAAACATATTATACACAAATAGTATGCAGTACAGTATTGAGTATTTTTTACTTTACAGATCACTTGCGTTGTTCTGTTACTAGCCGTGGCAGCCTACGGTAAGTGAAATTGTCTAATACTAAATTAGGGCGTCTACAAATTAAACGAGTTGGGTTGCAGAGAGAGAGAGAAATAAAATGACACTACGGACACCTGTGACATTTCGCACTGTCATTTCTCGGATGCAGCACCCTACGATAATCTATTGTATTTCTTTTCATTTTTATTCACAATAATCGAATCGAACGCCAAACTGTCGTATTCGAAACCGAACCGGAATGACGTCACACCCGTATGATTACTCGTACTTCTCGACCGGCAAAGGCTACAAACGTTATTCAGAACAGTTCCCGAATGAAAGTTACCGAACGCCCTGTTGCTTACAAAGCTAGAATGTAATATGGAAATCTCTTATTATTTTAAATAAAGTCAGGACTTTGTTCGATTTTATTAATTTATTTTAATGCAAGACTAAAGCATTCCTATATTTTAGGCCTTTAAAATCTTAAAATGGGTATAAATGAATTTTCATTTTTCTTATGATACATTTCACCGAGTGACTCCGTAAACGCTGTTAGATAACGATATCATATCCGAATCCTAATCAAACGTTTAACTGAATAGCTCGAAAAGCGCCATACGATTCGAGAACGATATCTAGTCGAACGATTCGGTTAAAATATCCAAAAGTTCTGAATCGGGGTCCTAATACGAATAGGACGTAGTGCGCAAATGCCCAGTCGCGCGCCTATGGCGCGAGTCCTGTCGGGTTGAAGGCTTCGATTCGATCTTTGTATTTAATAAAATAAAATTTGTATTGTAACCACTTCTTTTATAAGAATAATTACCCTTTACGTAGCTATAAATATTATATGGCAAATGAGCAACTATATTAAGTTTTATAAGGGGAATATATTTTGTTGCGTTATTGTAGTCATATTTGGGTTTAATAACGTTTACACGGCCCAATCATAAGAGTAAAAGTTGTATAAACCAAAACCTTTTATAACGAGCCGTTAGGTACATTGGAAATATGAATGTATTTATAAAACAACTACTAGATTTCTAATCATACATTTACACCCTGGATAATCAATAACGTCACAAGGTGCAAGTTGTATCAAACTACTAAATGTCTAATGGGATTATTCTAGAAGATGCTGCATCGTTCTTAGCTACATGTATTGAATTCCAATCCTGAAATTGTCTTCAATATAAAGTTGTTTGTTGTACTTGATGTCGGACGTAGACCAAACGATACCATTGATGATGATAATTGATTGATGGATGATGATACGTCTCTAGGGAAATTTTGACACCGCCATTCAAAAATCGATGCGACGGAACTTTATTCACTTGGTTGAATGTTTTTATGATAATGTGATTTGATTTACTGACTTTATTTATTTCCTAGAATGTTACCAATATTGTGGACCATTGTTTACAGCTGTACCACAAGCTTATGAAGGCGGTCCCGGTGGTGGTCATGGCGGTGGTCATGAAGGCAGTCACGGTCATGACTTAGGTCATGGCGGTAGTCATAAGGGCAGTCACGGGAGCGGTCATGACAGTGGTCACGGCGGCAGTCACGGCGGCGGTCATAACAGCAAACACGACGGCGATCACGGCGGCAGTCACGGCGGCAGTCACGGTGGTGGTCACGGTAGCAGTCACGGCGGCAGTCATGATAGCAAACACGACGCCGGTCACTATGGCGGTCACCACGACAAACACAGTAGCGGTCACAAAGGCGGTCACAAAGGCGGTCACAGTAGTGAAAGTATTGAAAGTAGTGAAAGTAGTGAAGAAAGCCATGGTCATTCTGGAGGACATGTCGAACATGGTAAGGGATATCGTAATTTGACTACAATGGTTTTTAAAGCATTAACATTGTGATAATATAGCATAGGGTTTGACAACTGGAATTGAAAGAGAAACAAATTATAATTTGAAATTCGTGACCAAGTTTGATTTCCATTTTTCGGGAACATTTTATTTTAAATATTTATTTCTGACAGTCATTTAACTTTTTGTACAGTGGTCCACAATTTACCTTTTATTTTGCTTTGAGTATTTTAACGTTATGTTTACGAAATAACTAACAAAGTTGACATTACATTGAATATCATCTAATAACTTTAAATAAGTGTTGAGTTCTTAGGGCGTTTTCAAATTAAACAAGCATTGCAGTGACGCCACTGTGGCGCTGCAGCCATTATCAATTTTCACGGTTTCCTTGGCAGCACAGCACACATGCTTTATACTCTACATATGCATGAATTTAGTTCCAAATCCTTGTTCTTACTATTATTACCATCATTATCAGTATTATTATTATAAAATGTCTATGTACTGTGTTGATTATACAAGGAATAAATGATTTCTATTTCTATTAATTCCACGAACTTTTGAGGCCACTTTTTTAGTACCCTGTATTGATTATGAACAATAATATATTTTTTTTTTGTTATTAGGTGGATTCGAGCATGAAAAGCATCATGGTAGTCATAAACATTACAAAGGACACGGTCATTGATACCAAATACACGAATATTATAAGAAATTGTTATTTGTATTGTATATAATAAATAATTTAAAGATAATAAATTATTATTTTAATAGTTATTCGTATTTCTTTTTTCCGCAACGTATTTGAATAGAGTTGCACTATCTACTACCTATATGTTATTCGTACCAATTTCCTACTACAGTAAAATCACTAGCAAGTGACCTAAAAGTAACATGAAAATTACCATCAAGTATTTTTTTTATAAAACTGTGTCGTCCCAATGATTTTTTTATTTGAAGGGAGAGATTGCAAACATTCCAATTCGAGTAGTAATTCAATTTCAGAATCGGAAACTGATACTGGATGAGATAATGTAGTAAATTTTTATTGAATTGATATTCAATTATTTTTTATCTGAAATTACTCCACTAGTTTGTTATAATTATTAATACAAAGATCGAACACTCAGAAAAAATCCTTCGATTCAAACCGACGTCTTCTAGCATACCATGGCAGACGTTATACTATAGTTAGTACAAACCAGCCACGGAACGAACCAGCGGACCTCATGAATTTTTCTATGTGTTTGTTGTCGTATCTTTGTATTTGGTTTTTCAACGACGAAAATTCCTTCGATCGATCAATTATGTGAATAAAAGCTTCCTAATGGGAGATTTGAACCGGAATGGCTTACTTATTGCAAATATATGAATTTCTTGATATTCGTTATTAAATTGGGTACAAGCCCGTACATGGAACCTATTTTTAGTAATAATCAGTGCGACAATGAGATAGTTACTGCAAATAGGCCACGCGGACGTCGATTGGATCCTGGACATTTCAACGAAATTTGACTTAATGAATAAGTAATTTTGAAAAAAACTGAGACATAACTTGACAAGTCCCATGTGCCTGTAATTTCAACAGCACCCTTACCTTTCAAAACCGGAACGCGGTAATGCTCATATTGCAGCTTGGCGACAGAAATAGGTAAGGTGGCAGTACTTTCCTGGGAGAACTCTTTCACAAGAAATCGAATGACATGGGTAAAGCAAGGTCAAATAATGAGCATTGGCAAAAAATATTATTTTCATCACACTTGCTCGTAAATAGTATGATTGCGTGGTGGCTGGCTTGGTCATTTTTCTTCGTATTACATACAAGGTTGGTGAGATTTTTTAATTTGTAGCACGACGTACTTCAGTACGTCAGATTTAAGTTCAAGCAAGGAGGTTATTGAAGTTCAAAATTAAAACATTCGATTAAAATGTTATCTAAACAGAAATTTCACTGCAATTTTACCACATACTACTAAAATACTTACTATTCAGAATTTCTTATAATTATTGATTTTAATTATTTTCTGTATAAAAATTTTAGATTTTTTTTTACAATCCATCATGGCTGACGCATACGTCTTGGTTTTTTACAATGGTTTAGTTCGAGTTGTAATTAATATGTATGGAAGAATATCTGGTCATCTGTTGATAAAAAAAATTATAACCCGTCATTTGCACAATCCATAATTTGGTTGTGTTATGAACCATATTTATTCATACATTGTTTTTATTTCCTCGCAAATGTCATGAAAAACATTGTTATTAAATCTCTCAGCCTTCGGCTTCGGACTTATAATAGACCCTTGTTTATAATTTCTTACCGTACTATTTGCCTATGATAGCATAGTACACAATGTACTATTTGCCTAAGCCATCATTGGTTGCCTAGCAACGTTAATTATTAAGCATTCTATTTCTGTGTATGTATGTGCGTGCATGAAATTATTATATAAATATAAATTTAATTAGTATATATAGTTTTATTGCAACAGAGTAAGAAGTAAAATCGTGATCGAGTTTTAAAAGCGAACATTCTTAATTAATCGTCGTATGGCTTAAATTTTTAATATATGAATATAACTCATTGTTACAACAAGATTGACACGTACTCCAGCTTAAAATATGATATGTCGAAATAAAATAAAGGAAAAATCAGACGTAAGTTACCCTAAAAAATTGCATATCAAGTTAGCCAGCCTATTAAGATTAAACTGCCTTCGTGGCCGAATGGTTACTAGACTGCCATGCAGAGGTACCAGGTTCGATTCTCGGGCCGGAAGACATATTTGTATGGCCCACATTACATTCTCTCGTGAGTTTGGGTGTAGTCTGTGGTTGTTTATGTGTGTGTCCATGGCGCCCGCGACACAGGGTTTCCATAGTTCGGGGCTATGTTGAGTGTATGCGTTATTATTCTTGATAGAATCAATGATATCAAGATTAAATTCGTCACTAAAAATGGTTTCTGCAATCATTAAAATTGTTGCTGTAATCATAAAATTTGTTGATGCAACAATTAAAATTGTTTCTGTAATCATTAAAATTGTTCCTGCAATCATTAAAATTGTTTATATAATCGTAAGAACAAATGTAAACAAATGTAGTAGCAATAGAGCTCCTTGTGAAAGAGTTCATCCTGGGTAGTACTGCCCCACCTTATCTATTTCTGCCGCCAAGCAGTAATGTCAGCTTTACTGTGTTCTGGTTTTGAAGGGTAAGGATGCTTATGAAATTCCAGGCACATGGGACTTGTCAACTTATGTCTCAGGGTGACGGGCGCAGTGGTAGTGATCTCCCATCAGGCGCCCGATTTGTTCATCCCGTCACTTGATGTTATAAAAAAAACTTTAAACCTCATCTTGTTTATTTAATTTATTTTATAGTTGACGTACATCAACTTGTTTATTTCAATCGCATTTTTTTCTCTGTGTTATAGTATAACGTCTTATAAACAGTTTTAAAAGATTATTATCTCAAAAAAAAGACAAAACATTCTTTTCGAAACGCAATTGAATTTGCGAGCCAAAGCCAAACGTAATTTTTTTCGTTCACCAGTTGTTTTCCGGTTTTCTATTAGCCACCTCATTCATTAGAATCCATAAAATTCGATATAATAACACGTGAATTGTTTAACATAAATTAGTATTATTATTATCAATATATAATCCGACTTTGTACGCTTCGGTGGAAAAGTCATATCCGCCACTTTTAATTTTCGAAATTATTTTCCTAAAAGAAATTGTAGGTACATTTGTGAACTAATAACTCAGTTCTCGAAAGATAAAATATTCACTGTAGCTAGAAGTGCGATAAGATACATAAGAATATAATAAATTATAGGGTATATAACAATTATGAGTACACCATAGCATTTTGGTGACGCTATTGGTCTTAATATAGTACCTACTGCTAACCAAGGCCACCACAGGCACATGAGCATTATTTTAAAAGCCGTAGAGCTCCTTGTGAAAGAGAGCATTCAAGGAAATACTGCCACTATACCTATATGCCTCCGTGGCCGAATGGTTACTATGCCAAACTGCCACGCAGAGGTCCCAGGTTTGATTCCCGGGCCGGTAGAAATATTTGTATGACCTACATTTATTTCTCTCGTGAGTTTCGGTGTAATTTGTGGTTGTTTATGTGTGTGTCCATGGGACCCGCGACACAGGGTTTCCCTAGTGCAGAGCTATGTTGAGTGTGTGCGTTATTATGATTATTATTTCTGCCTCCAAGCAGTAATGTGAGCATTCTTGCGTTCCGGAATTAAAGGATTTGGATGCTTATGGACTTTGTCGACTGCCTCAAGGTAAGGGGCGCAGTGGCAATGCTGCGCTAAATGACCTTCGTCGTCGTTCGTCTTGTTAACTACTTCTTTCCTCGGCAGGCGATTTACGATGATAACTTGGAATGCAAAGACTTTTTCGCCCTTACTACATGGACATAAAGTTCTCACGAGATTGTGATTCTTTGTTGAAAATAGAACGCTTCGTAACATATTCTGGGAAAATCTCAAAATTTCATGAAGCAAAAATTTTATCAATAAAAATGTATGGAAAGGGGTCAGCTCCTAAGGAAATTTATCGACTACTTTCTTATACAAATAATACGAAAATTTATAACGAAACTCAACAGCGCCACTAGTGTGGCAATTTGAGAGTTAATTAATTTATCTGCTTCTAACGGTGTTATTTATCGCATTTTTTTTTATAAAACTTCTATCACCGATTGTATCGTGGTCTAATCGACGACGTGACGTCGTATAGCGTAATTATATTTTGTAAATTGTTTACTGTCAATAGATGAGGTCACAGTAATATAAAAGAGGCTATATAAGACGTGGAAGTTCCAAAAAACGTACAGTTGGACGTTCTGAGCGCCTGCAAAATGAATTTCAAAGTAAGTTACGAGTTTTTAAATATTTTACACCATTGATGGACCTTTTGAACTTTTTATTTTCTCTCAACAAATAAGGCTAATTACTTTACTAAATGTTTACTGATTAGCGAGTTTAATATTGAACATTCTTTGTTAAAGACTGGTGCCTGGGATATATTTAAAAATACCTGTATCACTGGTCATGTATCCATTCCACGGATTGTATTAAACTAGTCTAAACTGTTTTTTGTATGAATTACATAAATGTATAATAATCAACCTTAAGTGTACCTACGCAAGTATATGCTTTCTGACATTTACAGTAGTCAATTATTATTACATTGTTCTTGAAAGTATAGAGAAATAAAAATGTATTTATTGGCATAAGAAAACTTAATATTTTTTTCGTATACATAGGGCGCAAAATAAGTTTCCGGAACTGGCCACTTACATAAACAATATTTAAAAAGTAATTAGATCATTTGAAAATAGAACTCTTTGGCTGTAGAATACTGTCAGACTGTCACTTGTTTTTACATTGTGGCGTAATTTTAGAAATTGATTGTCTACATAACCATGGATTTAACTCGTGAAAATTTTCGTAGTATGATTTTCTACGACTTTAAGTGCAATTTAACAACTCAGCGGATCTTCGCTCGGCTTCAAACTGCTTTTGGCGACGAAGCACCTTGTAAGACGACTGTTTATAGCTGGTTTGCAAAATTCAAACGCGGTCGTGTGAATCTCAGTGCCGAATTTCGTGATGGTCGCCCGTCCACTGCTGTGAACAACAAAAACATCGATGCTGTGCGCCGTATGATCAAAACAAACAGGCTTGTGGCATACAATAAGATTCGGGCATCTTTAGGCATAGGCATGAGTCAAATACATTCAATACTACACAAAGATTTGGGTGTGAACAAGCTGTGCTCTCGGTGGATCCCACACAATTTGTCTGAGGTACACGATCATTTCTTTGCTACAAGTTATTGACAAACTCCGTAAAAATAACTGTAAACGCCGTATCATCTTGCACCACGATAATGCCAATTCTCACACGGCCAGACAGACAAATGAATTTTTGAAGGCGAACAACGTTGACCTTATAAGCCATCCCACTTACAGTCCCAACCGTGACGTTCGCTTCCAACCAAGACTGCGTGGACCGAGCTTTATGACCCGGCGCCGAGTCTTGCTGGAAGGACCATACTTGGTTATTGAACATGGTGATGTTAAGGGGCTTAACTACCTTCTCAAGAATGGTATCTTGATACACTTGTGCCGATGTTTTGATACCTTTTTCACAAAAATATGGCTCAGTCACTCCTTCATAGCTAACACCCCACCAAACCATCACTGAAGTCGGACAATGTCCACGTTGCACTCTGTCGACTAATTGGGAAGCTTCCTTAGAGCTTTGAGCATAAAATATACGGTCATTTTGCTTGTTAAAATGTGGCTCAATTGTAAAAATTTTCTCATCCGTAAACAAAATTTTTCTGTGACCTCCCTTTGCGTACCGCTTCAGTAGTTGTTTCGATTTTACCACCCTATTCTTCTTTAAATTATCAGTTAAGAAATCGCAGTGCGTCTCTTATAGGCTGCAAGTCCTAAGTCATCTTTTAAAATACGCGACTTGGTTCTAGGTGCTACTGCTTTGACCACCTTTTTCGTACGAACACTACGTGGACGGCCAGGTCTTTTTCTGTCACAAACAGAGGAAGTCTCATTGTACCTATTAATAGCCCGGTACACAAACATTTTACTAATACCAAGTGTATGGAGAGTTTTAAAAATTGCATTTGGCTCCATACCTACTTTGTGTAATGCAATCACAGCGATTCGGTACTCTTTATCACCCCATTCCATTTTAATATCGCAAAATATTGTACAATGTATTGGCGCCAAAATGAGAAAACACAATGAACAATCGTATAAAAATGACAGATTCGAAATTCAAATGTAATATTTTTTATTTTTAAGTGTAACAGTATATACAGTTATGGCCAGACTAAGTATATACTACATTATGGTATGCAATACAGTATTGACTATTAAATATTGCTTTATTTTACAGATCGCTTTCGTTGTTCTGTTACTAGCCGTGGCAGTTTACGGTAAGTGAAATGATCTAACGTCTTAAAAGTTTGCGCTAGAGCGCGAAAGTCCAATTCTTACCCTGTGTGTACGGGCGCTTACAAGTTCCGAATCCGAGAAATGACGATCCGAAATGTCGCAGGTGTCCGAAGTGTCATTTATATCTCTAGGTTTATAAGAAATATTTGTATTATATAGTGCACAAGAGACGTCCGAATACAAATCGGATGCAGCGCGCACCCTTCGGTTATACAATTTCTATAATACAATTTCTTATCCCATTTGGGTATGACCTTATCAAATTCAATGTCTCACATCGTTGTATTACCGCCGAGTACGGCGGTAATACTATAAGGAGTACCTTCATTTGGTCGCATGTTATTAGCTGTCTATCTTTTTAAAGGCTTCAAACTCCTGGATTTTTAGATAACTGCCTCCGTGGCCGAATGGTTAACAAGTTAACAACGACTGTCACGCAGAGGTCCTAGGTTCGATTCCCGGGCTGGGAGAAATATTTGTATGACCTACATTGATTGCTTTCGTGACTTTTGGGTGTTTGGGTGGGTTTCCCGCGACACAGGGTTTCCCTAGTTGCTATGTTGAGTGTATGAGTTATTATTATTATTGTTTATCGTAGAAAAGTTGTGATGTGTAATATTAAACATCTTTATTTAAATATTTAATCTATGCCGTTTAGATTTAAGTATTTAGTAGTATTTTGAATAGGTAGTTTGAAATGTTGCCTATTAGCCGAAAATATTATCATATATATGGCACCGTTTTCAAAAAGTTTATTAAAATTATACAATAAATGACAAAACCTTATAAAATCATGCGGTTTGTTTTTGTTTAATTGATTACCTAAAACCTTTGTAATATAGTATTATGGATATTTTGTTCACAGCTGTACCGCGCGCTTACGGTAATTATTACTACGGTCATGGCGGTCACCACGGCGGTCATAGTGGTGAAAGTAGTGAAGAACACCATGGTGGTCATGGAGGATACGGTGGATATGGTAAGGATATCAAAATGTTCAAAGACTTTTCAAGTAATTGTAACGTTGCAATAAAAACAAAATACAGTACAGGGTTTCACTATCAAGTTAGAGCACCGGAATTTAAAATATTTGTTATGCAAGGCTGCAAAGTTGTTGTTTGACGAGACACAAAACAACTTTGCTGCCAAACGAAACACACAACTTTTCACCTCACTATAGCGAGGAAAATGTTAGATGAAAGAAAAATAGTTGAACTAAAACAATATGAGTCTCTTTTTAATTAAAAAAAATAGTTTGTTTGCGGATGCGATTTGAATTTACACCTCATTAATTTTTATTCTTGCTTGTACTTTTATTTTGTGTAATTAAGTGATTATTGAAATTATTTTAGTTCTTCGACGAATTAAAATAATTTAACAAACACAATTAGTTATCATTGTCAGTTTAATGTCAACTATAATAAGAATAAAATAAACCAATGGATTTATATTACATAAATAAGTAATGTACGACAAATCGCGTAGTTGCATGCGCGCTACAGTCCATCGTCAAGTTCGAATTTTAAAAACTTTTTCCATGCTTGCGTGCAAAAAACGGTTTTCGCGCAGTTTTCTAATGAGAAAGAAAATTTTTTCGAGCTAGTGAGGTGAAAAGAAAGAAAAATTGGTTTCTTTGAAAATACTCTGTTTAGATCCGAAAAACATTTCCTACAAGCAATAATGGGCAAAAACTTAAGAATTTGATAAGGTTAACTTTTTCGAAAACATTTGGTTATGGAACCCAACAACTGTATCATATTATTATAATTTGAAAAAAGTTGATATCCATTTTCAGCGTACATTAGCCAAATTAGCGGGATTTACGGGAATCTATTGTTATAAATCCGTAGAGAACATAAATTAATGCTTACTGTGCAAAAATGAAAGCCATAGCCATTGAAATAACAAAGTAATAATGTTAAATCCCTCTCCTGTAAAAGTTGATATACTGCCGATACGTGCCTTTTACCAATGATACATATGCGTATTTGCAATATCCCCGACGAAATGTTTGGATCTAATTCGCGTATATTTGTTTCTACCAGACTGCGGGAGGATTATGTTTTTCAAGTGCATGTAATTTTTCTTTTTCTCGCTGTACATCCTAAACGGCTTGATGGATTTTGACATATGACATGTCGATTCGTCTTGATTGTGTCATAGGCTATAAAAATAATTAAAATAGTGAGGGGGGAATATTTTGCAATCGGGTTTTTGTTTTTTTAAATAAATTTAAAACTTGTTTCAAACAAACCATCGCGTGGTGCTTTATACCTGTCACATAAATAAAGAAGTCATGAAAGTTTGCATTAATATTAAACATGACTGACAACTGATGTGCCTGAAACGTTTGTTTGTTTGAAAAAACAAATATGTGCCATTTAGAAATGAATAAATTCTGTCATTTTAAATAAATAATTACACAGTGAATTATGAAAAAAATTAAGTTATAGAAATAACGGCTTTTCTGATTTGTTACTGTGAATTTTAATATTGTTTCTTGTTTTTTTTTAAGGAGGATACGGGTATGGACATCATCATGGTAGTCATGAATATTACTAAGGACACCGCCATTGATACCAAACACACGAATATTAGAAATTTTTATTTGTATTGTATATAATAATATTAATAATTTAAAGATAATAAATGTTATTTCAAAAGTTATTTGTATTTCTTTTTTCACAACGCTTTTCAATAATAGAAAGTTTGTTTCCTAATTGGCTACTAATGGCTATTGAACCTGGGATTTTCCAAGTATAACCTGATTCAGAAAGGTCATATGTTCTTCAAACTCAAAAGATTTACGTATAGCGGCGAGCGAAGTTTTCTGGGCATCCACCACAGAACAATAAATACAGTACAAGTGCTTAATAAAGAAGGACGGCGACGTCCGGTGAAGTTTGGGACCCAGTGTTCTCGACGACGTACATTAAGGGGACCTATCAATACTTGTGATTCATTATCAAAGCATCAAAAAAGCTAATTGAATACAGCCTATAGAAGCTGGGGTTATAAAGTTGATATAGGTTATGTTTATAACATTGTCCTGTATTTCGCTTCCGATGTTTGTTCGTAGTAGCAGAAATCAAGAAATTTTCAGTTTGTTCCCAAAAATAATAAAGAACTTCCCAAATATTCGCAAATCTGCCAAACTATGCCACAATTTTAATATAACTTATCATGTTCTGCAGCAATGAAAATGATTAAAATTAAATCTACCCAAATGACAGTAATCTGCCACAAACGTTCTCAATATCAATGTGACATTGACATTGGCAAGAGGTCTCTTGTCAAAACGTTTATATCTCATTTAAATATTGTGTAAATATTTTGGTCATATTGTGTTTTATTTTTGCCTTATGTTGTTACAGTTTAATTGATTATTTCATTGGGTATTTTATAGTTTTAATGTTTTATGTGTGTACTATAAAATAACCAATACATCAGATAGGTAAATATTCAATCATGCTTAAAATGAAACGTACGTACAAGAACGTTACCTTATCTATGGTCGAACAGAATCAATGGCGTTGTGTTCTTGCGTTTATTCCAAAATACATTGTTTTACAATTTCTTTATTCCCGACTTCTAAAATTATACAAAAATGATTGATAACTAGACATAAACTAAAACGCAAAATTATACTAGCAAAGTCCATGAACAGCTCTTCGTCGTCATTGGGGAATTTTTTTGTTATAATAAGAAACGAAAGAAACCTTATACCGCTGCAATATTATGGTCACTTCTTTTAGGAGAACTAAATAAACATCTCAAATTAGTCGTCATTCAGCTATTAACCGCTAGATGGCAGCACATTGATAGAAATTTCAATATCAAATCAAAACATGGGTAACTTGCAATAAAAACTATTGATGGTATTGTGCGCCTGGTGGCAAGCGACACGCCTGCCCATAACAGTTGTTGCAGTGCCACTCAGAGCTTTAAATCGCAAGATCTAAGGAGTACTGCTACTGCGCCCGTCACCCTGAGACGTAAGTTGACAAGTCCCGTGTGCCTGTAATTTCACCAGCACCCTTCAAAACCGGAACGCAATAATGCTGACATTACTACTTGGCAACAGAAAAAGGTGGCAGTACTTTGTTGGAAAAACTCTTTCACAAGGAGCTTTACTGCTATTATTTTGTCTCAGGGTGACAGATGTGGTGACAGTGCCCCTGCAATTGTTATGGACAGGCATGTCGCCTATCACCAGGCGCACGACTTGTTCGTCACGTCCCGCCCTTGTAACACAAACTATATCCGGCTGTATCGATTATATTTCTATTATTTATATCACCGACTGTATCGTAAACTGGTCAACGGAGGAACAACAAAACGATATTTTGTAAATTGTTTGGTGTCAATATAGGGTCAGAACAATAATGATAACAAAACCTATATAAGACGAGAATGAACAAAACAGTACACATTTGGGACATCTGGCATTCTTCAAAATGGCTTTCAAAGTAAGTTGTGTAAATTAAACTTAATAGGAAATAAAACCATTTTTTCGGATCTAAATAAAGTCATCAACTTATGACGATGCAATCTCTTACGACGATGACGTCATCCCACTTTTTCATCATCCTTTTCTTTTGTTACTAGCCATCTACTTTGAAAATTGAATCGTTATTAAATTCCTTTTCTTCTTCGTCACTTACTTTTCTTCTTTCCATCGCCGCTCTCTACTAAAAGTCCGAAGCGAGCACACATGCTCGAGTCACATAACATTCTGACCAGTTAAATCATGTAACCTTACTGCTTGCAAAGCATAGTATTTTTAAGAATTACAGGCCCTTTTGGGGTAAGTTCCTTTTTACCATAACCTGTATTTAATTTAAGCAGGGAGTGTTTATATACGATTGTACCTGTTTTTATATCATTATGTTTTATTACAGCCTTTACGCTTTTGCTTTATCTTTCTTTTCCCTTCCTGTACCTTCTCTTTCTTATATCTGAAACACCATTCATGTGGACCGAATCTTCTATTAAATTACGCTAGGCCCGAGTAACAAACTCTACCATTTCAGCCGTGACCAAGGGTCTGAAAGGCTGGTTTGTTTGAAAAACCAAATATATCCGAAAGAATGGTTTCATTTCCTATGAGTAACACTCGCGAAAACATAAGAATTAAGCATAAATACTTTACACGGGTTCATTCGATTTATAGAATTGTAACGTTTTTATGAAAAAAAAACCGACCTTAAAAGTTCGTGGAATCACATCTATTTGCCAAGTTTTATTGAAATCGGTTACCGGAAAGTGCGTGAAACCGGATTCATCCCCTAGTTTGCCAGTCTTACGTGGAAATTTCGTCGCGGAGGATTCTCAACGGAACGCTAATTCATTTTTTTGCGTATAATTTGCCGTCATCGGGCACATTACGCGGGAGATCGGTTGTCCATTAGCGGGCATCTTGACTTCGGCGTCTGCTCCGCCCTCCGTGTGCTGTTCTTCCGTTAGCATCAGATCGGCAACGTGCATTTGTATGTTACTTAATGCAACGCGGCACATTCGGCGGACAATCGGCGTCGCGTGCGCACGTACAGAATGTTTGACACCGAGAAATTCGATCGTTGGCAATCGACTGATAATCTGCCAGGGAATATTGAATGTGGCTGTAATGTTTAGTAACGGACTTGCCGCGACGTAAATTCCGCGACGGAGCTTCCGTTTAGTGTAGCGCTAGCCTAATATATTACGGCGGAACGGAATGGAAGCGAATTTTTGTAACGTAGCATAATGAACTTTATGGTCAATTGTATAACGTAGCAACTAGACACGAGCCAAAAGTTTCCGCGGAATGCGCGAGCATTATGCGTTCATTATGCTATGTACAATATCGTTACAAAAATTCACTTCCATTCCGTTCCGCCACAACATAGAGGTGAAATATTTTCTTCAAATTTAAATTGGCCCAATACTGAGATATCATCTTTCCGACAATAAAAAAACATCAGGCTTTTTACTGGTCCTATGGTCACGGCTGACCAAAAACGTTGGTTTGTTTGAAAAAGACCAACGTAAGCGAATTAGATCCAAAAAAAGTTTCATTTCCAATGTATAACAATCGCGAAAGCCTAAGAACTTGATATTTGTTCTCATTGATATAATAAAAGATTTTCTTTATACATTTACAGTGTTATTTAAATGAGCATCAAAATACTATATGTCTAAAGCGACAGTGTGAATCAAATATCAAATGATTAGTGATTGAAATCAAGGCATTTAATTTAGGTAAACTAAAGAATAATGTGGACATTCTCTTCTACAAAACCCAGGACTTATTGAATATGCGTAGTAGGACATTGACGACAAATTATTATTTCCTATTAAGTATTTGCTACAAATTATTGTCTCAAAAATAATTATTATTGTAGTTGTGTTTCCATAGGTACTTACGTATTGAAATACTTTAGCCATTTAAAAACGGATTTATACGGATTGATGACGAAATTGATCCATACTGTGAAAACGTTCATACTTAGGTAAATTAACTCCCTGAATTCCGATCATTGCTAATGATTGACAACGACAACGCAGATATAAGTAGATGGACTAAATATAACAATCGTTATCTCATGAACATCGTTAAAAAGTAATATTTAATATTTGCTGATCTTTCAAGTTAATGTTTTTTTTTAATAAACAATAGACACACGCTTAGCCACAATCTCACCTGATGTTAAGCAACGATGTGACCGACGATGGTATGCGTTTGCCTAAAAAATGCCTATTCGCTCTAGCCTTGAATAGCCCCAAATTGTACTTTTCGGGAAACACAGATGACGCATTCCATTCTTTTGCCGTACACCTCAATATCAACGACATAAGGATGGAGTGTTCCGGACTTTCTAGTCGACCGAAGGAGGAACGGTGAGGGTGGAACCAAATTGAAAAGTTCCTGCGCACACTCCCCAAAATGTATGTTTGCATATTAAGTTTAATAAGGCAGTAATTGAGTGTTTTGTATTACAGATCGCTTGCGTTGTTCTTGCACTAGCCGTGGCAGCTTCTGGTAAGTGAAACACTACAATTAAGTGTACACAACAACGTGTTCTTCTTATCGTACCGATGGCATGCACTATCTTCTTCAAGTGCCTCTCCGTTATTGAAGGTCAGCAGTCAGTTTTCTATACCTTTCTTTGTCCAGAGCTAGCCTGAACCGTTGTTCCACAGTCTTGATGCCGTCTTGATGTCCACTCTCTGATGTTAAAAAGCCATGACATTTTCCTTGTTCCAACATTCCGCTTCCCAGCTACTTTGCCCATCATTATAGTGTGTATATCTGTCATGTCGCTGTACATGACCCAAATAGGCAACCTTCCACTGCTTGATAGTGCGTACCAACTCCACCTTCTTCGCCATACGTTTAAGGACCTCGACATTCGTGACTTTGTCCGTCCAACTGAAGCGGAGCATTCTATGCTAGCACTATACACGAATACAAAAACGTATTCGCTGAAAAATATAGTTAACCATGAAGGTATTATGCTATATTATACAGGGTTCTTTGTAAAATACTAACAACCTCGCAGGCCTTTATTACCTACCATCGTAAACAACAAGTTTTATCTACACACATATAAACCCTCTATGATGTGTTCAAAAACCGCAAATTACGACCAGAATAAAAATAAACTGTTTTGTTAGAACAAATTTCTCATCTGTGAAAATGTTATTATTGCTACATATTAACAACGAATTCGATTTTATTATGACATTCAAAATTTGAAAATCTCTGAAAGACAAAACAATGTGATTCGACCTCAATTCTAATATCAGTCGAGATGAAGTTTTATATGAAATGAACACATTTCACATGTTACTTGATATCGAACGATATGATAGTTGGGGCCGACTCTAGTTTGTCTATGAATTAAATAAAAACTACAGTGGTGTCAAATGAGAAAAATGAGAAAAGTTTTTATTTGCCGTTATTTCGCCAGTCGTAACATGCGATTCCTGAACACACTATAGAGAGCTTATAATATGTGTATAGATAAAGCAGTGTATGTAACTGTACATAATTAGGCGTTAAAACACACGTGTGACGTTTTTATGATAAACCCACACTCGCATTTCGAAGCCTTTTACTATGTAATAGTCACATAAACTACTATTATTCCATGACTTTTTACAAAACATAGTAAATTTGTCTACAACGTAATTCTTTTACAACATCCAGTAATTTATTAAATAATTTTAGTGCTTACACAATCATAGTTCTATAGTAAAATTCCAAATTAGGTCGTTGTTTTGAACATATTACATAAAATTCTATTGTGGCCTCAGCCACACTCAACCGTGTTACTAGTAGCCGCCAATAAATCCTTAGATCACAAATTCGGGACGGGCGGTGGTGCGTTAAGCGGGGTGTTCAATATTTGCGCGTACATTGCGCGCAAACATGTGATTTGTGTTGGATACATTCAACAATAATGTATGCGCTAATATTGAACACCCCACTGAACGCACCACTGGTTCCGAATTTGCGGCCTTATGTGTGCAGGTGCAGAGAACACAATTAAGATAACAGGCTACCGATCATTCCATAGTGGTAAATCCGTGAGACACGAATGAAACGCCCGTTTACTATTGCTACCGAGATCGTGCCATAGTGGTAAATCTGTGAGATACGAGTGAAACGGCCGTTTATTACTGCTACGGAGATCGTTCCATAGTGGCAAAGCTGTGAGACACGAATGAAACGGCCGTTTACTACTGCTACCAAGATCGTTCCATAGTGGTAAAGCTGTGAGATACGAATGAAACGGCCGGTTACTACTTAAGCATTTGGTTTATTCCATGCTTGTATGGGTGGTATCACTAGTGTCGCAGTACGCACCTGACTACCTACATACTACATAGAAACGAAGTTTGAATCTATTTTGGTTAAAAATTCTCAATGAAATGCAACGGACGCTATCAAGAAATGTCAAGGGTCATAAGTCATAAAATTTTACGACGTCAAAAACTTTCAACTCGTCACGAAGTCACCACGTGGTAACTCAATAAGAAAAAAAAACTTTATCTCATTGTAATATGAACGAAAAAAAACATTCATTTCACTTCGGAACAAAAGCGGTCCGAGCGGAAACGAAACGGACGAGCGTCTATCCTTCTCTTATTGCTCGAATACGCGCCTGTCCGTAACTGTTGCAGCACCACTCGGAGCTTTAAATTGGAAAGACCTGATGGGCACTGACACTGCGCCTGTCGCCCTGAGACATAAGTTGATAAGTCCCAAGTGCATGTAAATTCACCAGCTCTTTTATCCTTCAAAACCTTACTGCTTGGCGGTATAATTAGATAAGATGGCAGTACTTCCCTGGACAAACTTTTTCACAAGGTGCTCTACTGCTACGGCATTCTCTGCCCTATGAATATCAGAGCAATGAAATTCACTTCGGAGTACTACAAAGAACACTCGGACCAGAACCAATTTAAAAATATTAATTTCCCAAATTGGTCTTACCGGGAACCAAACCCGGGACTTCTTTATGTAGCTACTACAGTGTAAACTGTTGGACTACCGAGGTCATCGTATTTTGTGCCTGTCATGTTGTTTTATGATTACTTTGTTCACAGCTGTGCCATATGGTTACGGCGGTGGCGGTCACAGCCACGGTAGCCATGGCGGAATCGTACCAGACAGTGGTTTCGGTCAAGGAGGCCAAGGTGGTTTCGGTCCACAGAGTGGTTTCGGACAACAGGATGGTAAGGAGCGTTATTTTTTTACTGTTATAATTTTGTATTTTACTTAAAATGTTTGTACTGCAAATTGCCGACTAAGTTTGAAAATCTTGTAACTACGTTTTTGGACGAAATTCCTTTCTTACTCTTCAAGATTAATATCGGGCAATTAAAGCTCAAATATTGAATATTTATAGTAAATCTGTTTTTGTGCCTACTCAAAAGTTCCATTAATGGAGTTAAGTACGAGGTTTGTCTACAATTACAGGCACATGGGACTTGTCAACTTACGTCTCAGGATGACGGGCGCAGTGGTTGTGCCCATAAGATTTTTGCTATTTAAAGCTCTGAGTGGCACTGCAACTGATAAAAGTTTCAGTGCCACTCAGAACTAACTTTACTTCGGATTACTTATTCTAAATTCTTATAATGATTTTTTGTTTCAATAAGGAGGGTTTGGACAGCAAGGTGGATTCGGACAAGGTGGCCATGGACAACAAGGTTTCGGACAAGGCGGCCATGGACAGCAAGGTTTCGGACACGGCGGCCATGGACAGCAAGGTTTCGGACAAGGTGGCCATGGACATGAAGATTTTGGACACGGCCATGGACACGACGATTTCGGACCGGGTGGATTCAGTGGACATGGGAGCCATAATAATTTAGGACGTGATGGCCATGGACAACACCACGGTGGATACCAAACACACGGCTATTAGATGTTGTTATCTAGTTAGGTTAATTTATAGATAGTAAATGAGTTATTTAAAAAGTTATTTGTATATTTTTTCTACGCAATTAGTTTCACAAGGGTCAGTATTTTATGCGGCGGTATCTAATGGAAAACCTGTTCCAAATCACTTATAAAAAAACTTAAAATAACTTCAATCGTCTATTGAACCTGGGAAATTCCAATAAAATTTTCTGAGTCGCCAAGGCCACCATTTTTTTTTTTGTTTAAACACTGAGCACTTATTTATTGTCAATGAATGATAATTTGATTAGCAAATATTCATAGTTATTAAAATACTTTTCGAAGTCCGGGAGTTACTGTTTTTTATTATTAGTTTTGGTTTCTAGTTTATTTCTAACCTAATCCAAATTATGGTAATAAGTTTACTAACACGATTCATGAACCAGGCAAACGATTGATACATGTTATAAGTAGTTAATCCATAAAATGTAGGCTACTAAAAAAAGACCATATTTGAGATTAATTTGAAATTAATTAAAATTAAAGTGTTCATGTAGGTATTTGCTCGCTGAACGACTTTAAATTGGTGGACTAGCCGTATCGTGAGTATCCACGTCTGGACGCCGTAAATCATAACGGGCAAGACGCACTGGTAGAAAACCTTTATTTTCAGATTTTGTGACGAGAAGACTCGACGTAGCTTTCCTTTAGGACTATGTCATCTGCAAACCGTAAGTGTGAGATGTGAGCACATCTCCGTGGTTTATGTTAATACCCATTCTTTTCCAGTCCAGCGTCTTAAACATATCCTCCAATGCGGCTGTGACTGTTCACAGCCGCATTGTAGGACACGTCAGGGGGATGTCATATCCCCGAAACTGTTTTCGGGGATTCATTAGTTGTCATTAGGGGACTTCATTATATTCAGCTTTAAACAAGAATACTCAAATTCATAATACAAATCATTAACAAATTGAACCAAGTAAAAGAAGATACGTAGACTACCTCTGTGGTCTCCTCTGTTGATTTCATGGTGTCGCTATCTGTCCCGTGTTCTATTATATTGTCAATGTAAAAAAATTTACTTTTCTATATTGTGTCGGATCTTGGTGTTTGTGGTGCCGTCGTTGTATCAAGTTTTCATAACACACGTGCTTCAGTTACTTACTTTGAAATCGGAGCAACGAGCAAAAATATATATGAAGGGAGACGATCCGGAGGCCATTTACGGAGAAGCCATCTTCTATAAATTTTAATGCTGTTTAATAATGAAAATGATACCCAAGTTAACAATAGTCAAATAATCATTTATTCCATCGTATATATATACACACACTCATATGTATACACACTCATATATATACACTCATATATACATACACAAAAAGTGTCCAAAAGTGTCCAGGAATCAAGGAATGTTTTTTGTTTTTAACACGTTCAGCGCCACAACCTTGAAATGTTTTTGCCCCAGGCCAAGTGTGTCCCTGGCAATACACAGGTAAGGCTTGCCTCTTTAGGTCGACGTATCTCAGGGTATATATATAGTTTCGAACATTTTGTATGAGCGTCTGAAAGCACTGGCCCTCACGAATTGTTCTGTGTTTTAGAGATATAAATACCTGTGATAGTTTTGAAGTTGTGAAGAAAAAATTAAGTAAATATACTGTCTCAATTAAATTTTTTTTATTACTTAATTAATTTGCTGAAAGGAATCAAATTGAGTATGTACAATTAACTTGTAAATTATTGTTTTGTTGTACTCATTATTTACTGCTTATATTTATAATATTTTAGTTACATTTAGCTAAATGTATGAAAAAAGGAAAGGAAGGCACAACTGAAAACAAGAAGAATAACGGGGCACAGGGGGAGGAGGTAAATTAATAGCATTAAAAACGATTTAAGTAAAAAAAATGTGATTCCCACGATTGTTGCCTCAGAGCCCTGGGCGTTGAAAGTTTTAAATTACCCTATTAATATTAAATAAAAATATGCACAAAAATTTGTTACATTATTTATTTATATTTTTTTAAAAAAACGTCCTTGATCCTTAGACACATTCGATGTGTTTATAATATGTACTGGCTTCCTTTACCAGTAATATTTTTCATTGATTTAACAAATTCGAATACCTATGTATTATAGGCAAGAGAGAGGCAATGTTTTCAGTGTATTGAAATAGGGGCAACGTGGCACATCTGATATTAAACTACAGATGACCCGTATTCACCTCTTTTAAGCAATAAAAACTTTCCTAAAGTCTGTGTCATTACCCCAAATGATAAGACCATGTCTGTAACAGATTCTACGCAAAATAAGTCATGCATCGTGGCTAGGTATTTGTCATTTGTCAATTTGTGAAGAGCAAAAACAAATTCATTGACCACCTCCATGATCGAGTGCCTTACACACCGGTTTTCATGGTGTCGCCATCTATAAGGTCCCGGGTTCGATTCCCGGTCAGGTCAATGTAGAAAACGAAATTTTCTGTATTGTCTTGGGTCTGGGTGTTTGTAGTATCTTCATTGTTTCTGGTTTCCATGACACAAGTGCTTTACTTAGGTTCTATTCCTAGTTAAGTTAGGTTAGTCAAAATCAAAGTCAAAGTCAAAGTCAAAGGCAAAGTCAAAGTCAAAGTCCAA